TCTTTATAGAGGTAATAACAGATGTCTGCATCTGTCTTATCATCATAAGTTGTTGAATAATAGGAACCGCATCATAACAACATGAAGAAAGGTGGGAAAAAATAGAGCAGAGCTATTTACAATGTGAGCACTGTACTAGAGAGGGGTCTGTATGAATGAGTAGTCAGAGCCTGGAAGATAAAGTGAGAAAACAAGACGACCATTCTGATACTTAAAGAAATACATCAGATATATATAAGTAATAGTACCACACATACAGTATATTAGTAGCAAAATCCAGATTTTCTTGGGAGGTGAAAAGGTTGGAATTGACCCACCCTGACTGCCAGAAAATAAAAACAATATGGATCTAGGTCACATTTGCCCGTGTTGTGAACAGAGCATGTCTCAGGCCTCTTGCTGCTTACTTTAAGATTCTAACTTTGATTAGTTATAAGGGAATAAAATATCTCCATCTCTTTATTGGCTGATGATTAAAGGATCCATTCCAGTTATTAAATCTGCTTTAGGCAGTCATTTCATAGTAACCCTAAAAAAATATCATGTTAACTAGGGATCAATTTATAAGCCTCTTCATATTACTTTTTACTTCTTGATTTTAAAATAAATTTAGTCCAAAAGAGTTGCCACCTAAATATCGTGCATATTTTTTGAAACGTTTACATGCCAATCTATTCGTATAGATACCCAAACATTGTTTTCTTGCTTACTCGTTAGGAAAATCCTCTTTATATCATATCATTTTATTGTACTTGTTCTATTTTAACTCATTGTGCTTGATTTATCTAATTTTTCCAGCAAAGTGTTTTTTATAGTTCATTTAATTTGATTGGTAAGAAACATGCTTTATAAATAAATCAAATTTGATAACTAATACATAAATGAATAAGTAAAGTGATATGAACCCCAGGTTTATTAATACACCAGTTATTCCTCGCTTTCAAAAAGGTCTAATTAATTATGTATAGATATAAAGGAAAATCAGCTGAGCTTAATTTCTTCTGGCTATAAAATCTGTTGAACCATCCATGAACATTAACGGTGGAAACTCACAGAGAGCCTTCAAGAAGAAGCACATTGGCCTTATTATTTTTTATATTTAAGGTTTACTCCTCCCATTTGCCCGTTTCATTATTAAACTGTACAAGGTGATACAGTCCAAACACACAAAATATGATAATATATTCAATATGCCACTACCAGATAGCTAAAAAGTTCTAGGTTTCTTCACTCCTGTTTTATCAATCTTTTTTTTTTCATCAGTTTTAGCACACTAGTTACAGTAAGATTAATTCACCTGTTCCCTCTTAAAGACAACACATAAGTAAAGTGATCCTTACCTTTAATATTCTTATTTAGGCCCTTTGGTTCTGTCAAATAAAGACTGAAATGCTAATCTGGTTGTTTAAAAGACTTGATTCCCTACAGTATTTGTATTTGTTTTTTAAATAACCCCTTTAGAATATCATGCCTTAGGGGGGAATTTATTTGGTGGTTTGGCTCAGGCATTAAAGTGGAAATTATGATGAAAGCAAACGAAGAGAGAACTGCTGGCGTTATTTCTTCTTAAACATGTGATTTCCTTAACCAACATAACCACAAAACAGCAATAAAGATTGTTCAAAGTAAAACACTTATAATGTTACTGCATTATATTTTCTTTTATATATGATTGCAGTTTTATAATGACAGCTTTTCTGTTTTACATTACCAGAACCCAAGCAGCAATTTGTATGACAGTGCTTGATCATTAGTATTTAGTCATTAGTTGACATTTATTGGCCTTTTGGTTAGAGTTCTATTGCACACAGTTTCCCTTAAGACAACCCTTGTATAGATATTGTCAAATTATCGAACTACAACTTACCGTACTAGAATATTTCTATCAGTAATACTATGAAGAAGTTGAGAAACAAAGAAAAACATCCATCTTATTTGCGTCTAAATTTCCACTTACGGCTCTTATTAATGTGAGCACTGCAGCACAGATGCAGGAAGTTTTAAAAGCTGTGCTTCAAAATGTCACATAACCCTTTCCCTTAGTGTAGGCTACTGTTTTGACACCACTGGTGTATTGATCAAAACAAGAATTGTGAAAAGTTTATTTTTATAATATATTGTGACACTTTGATCTACATTATCTTTGCATATCAAAGACTGAAAACATAAATAAATTCAAGCCTATTCTGTGTCTGGAATGTAATTATGTGCATGTATTCAGTACAAAAAATGCCTCTCATAACTGATGGGGCCCCTTTTTGTTGGTTAATCCGCTCACATATCCATGTAAGCTTCAGGATTTTTTACGCTTTACTGCAGAGTGCCGGTTCCCTCTCTGAGTCTGCAGTTTTTCCAGTGTCTGATTTTTCATGAGGTTGAACTGATCCCTTGTCAACAAGATCAGGTAGAAAAGGTGGAACAAAAACCAAAAAAAAATAAATAAATACTTCTACCAGCCAAAACTCAGTAAGTGGCATAAGCAAGATCGATATCATGTAGAATTTAAACTGAACTACATGTATCGATCTAGAAAGCCTCATGCAGAAAGTGTTCGCAAAAGGGAGGGACATTCAGTAGAATTCTCCGAGCTGATTAGTTACCTGCTACCATTTTTAGCCAATCACAGAAGCCATGCAGCTTGATTTGTTTCCCAACTAGCAGAGCTATCTGATAAATCAGAATCTTACCGAATCCAGTCGGGGGGGAACGAGCAAACATCTTTCCCATCCCCAAAGGCAAAAATTGCGTCGATTTAGTTTTTTTTTCAAAAAGAAATTGTAGGTATTCCAGCTAAAACCCAAAGAGCCATTTCTGACTTGCTTCAGCCTTCCGCCTCTGGTTGACAAATTGACGTCACACACATCAATGCATTTAATTGGTCTGAAACCTTTCTGTATCTAGGCTATGCATCTGCTAATTTCTAGTAGCATAGACATACATATAAGTGTAGACCCCACAAATCGATGCAGTGCAGAAATTACAGGCGCCATCTTGGGGAGGTCAACCTGCTACCCTAACTTACTGTAGTAAAAAAATTATAAAATGTATGAGTGGCTGTGCTTTGCAACATACACACATCCTATCAGAATATTCTATTCTCTGAACTTCACTATGAATACTTAAATTCACTGAACCATTTGGGGGTTTTTTTCAGCAAAACACAAAAAACAAAAAAGAACTTCAAAATTACTTCAATATTCAGTGAATTAAAGTTGATTAAAATTGATCCTCTGCCTGCTGAACACATTACACCGAGTGGAGCTGTCGACTGCCCCAAGATGGCGCCACCAAATAACGTCAGCGCCTATAGGCGAAAGCAGTCGATGAGGGGTCTCTTATATGTATGTCTATGTCTGGTAAGATGTATTTTAGGAATATTGTGAGTCACAGATCTTGTGATAATTCATCTTAATTGCAAGGTAACAGAACTAGTCCCTCACAGTGGTATTCATACTGCTATAATCTTCACAAATACCAAATTGCAAGTTAGAAAAAAGAAGTATGGGTTTGAAATATTTTTAGGAAGATAGCCCATGTGAGTCAATACTTTGCAGGACCAAATTTGTCTTGATTGATCCTGCTTTAGGAAGCTTTAGGCCCCCTGTGCACATAACAACCATCCATTAAAAACCTGATTGTTTTGGTGGCCATTTGTGCACTGGAAACACTAATAATAGGGTAATTTCCCAATCATGGCAGTTCTTTAAAGCACTTAGGAAATGAATACCCAATCAGACTGATTAAAAAGGCAACACCACTAAAACTTTCAGAACGGAAAGTAATCAGACATGTTTATGGACAGACATAGAAGCTCAGCTTCAGATGACTTTGAGATATAAAAGCACCAGTGTAGTTATGCTGTTATAAATGCAGTAATATGTGCTGATTGCAGTCATACTAAGGATTGGCCAAGGCCTTCCCTTACAGGTAGATTCAGTCTTTTTCTTTGTTATCAACAACAGAAACCAGAATACTTTTAAACCATTCCACTCTGGATCTCATTTTGCTGCTTAGGTGTAAAATAACAATAGGCCCACACTATAATGCTGCCAAAACTATGTCTCAAAGCAAAGAAGGACTCCCAGGTTAATCTGATGTTCTCATTTAACGATGTTTGTTGTGTTCCTTTATGGCCTGAGGCAAACTCCTAATTGGACCTTTTATGACTTTTGCTTAACAAAGCCTTTCCTGGGGCTGTTGGTTCCACTTTGAATTTATTAAGCGTTCTAACATTTGTAAAATAACTAATAAATAAAAAGGCAATCCTTTTCTTTTCACTACATGTAAATGCATCAAGTTGTTTTGGTTATTTGCATAGAACTTAAATAGAAAATAACAGTGAATGTGCTTTTTAAAAAGTAGAAAAACAATAAATAACACTTTTGCATTGCATCACTTAAAGGTCGAGTTGGGTCCCAAATCATCCTAAAATCATTGTCAAATCTTTTTTTTTCTATCTACACAGGTGAGGCTTGAAATGTATCTGATTCCTAACCAAGCATAGCCACCATCTAGGCCACAGGGGCTCACACGTATTTCCCACATGCCTTTCCTCTCACTCACACACCCTCCTCCCCTGCTGCTGTCAGACCAACTCAAAGTCCTCTTTCATCCCTTCACCTGCAGGCACCCTCTTTGTCTGCTTGATCTTCTCCTAAGAGCCAGTTTACAGGACCCTACCTGTGGTGAGGACCCTCTGTTTTTTTAAAAAGCCAGGTTTATGCTGAATCAGGCGGATGGTGCAGTGATTAAGGGTTAAGTCTAACCCTAACATGCCACAAAGGCTCTTTCATCTTCTTCCACACTGTGCAATTTAGGAGTCAACAGACACGTGAGGGAAGGATCATAAAAAAACCAACCACAGGTCTGTTGGTGAAGTTTACGCACGGTTTGTTATTGGACCACCGTGCAGATCACGACTGAATAAAACATTGTTGCACAACAACTATGTCAAAAAAGTGAGTCTCAGCATGTCAGCTCCACCAGATCGGCTCTCTCACCAGATAGCTATGCGCTCCTTCGGGTACTCCAGCCTCTCGATGCAGCCCAGGTGGTGCGGCAGGCTGTGCGCTGCGTTCCGCGCCAGGATGGCGATCATAACCTTCGGCGGCAGAACAGGGGACTCCGGCTTCACCCGCTCCTGCACCAGCGTCACCAGTTCGGACAGGACGCCGGCCACCAGAGCAGCCAGTAGGACCCACAGCTCAGCGACTGCCCGCATGTTTCCTCCCGGATGAGTGTTCCCAACTGAAGCCGTAGTCCTTCGGGTTGGGAAAGGTGGGAGAAGGTGGGCGTGGAGGTCTGCGCCTCTGCTACCCCGCCTACCGTCACTGGAGGTTGTTGCATGAATGCAACCTGGAGAGATCTCCCAGATATATCTCACTATAGGCATAAACTTGGACCTCATTAAGACACTATGAAGACCCCTATCACCTTCAAATGATGTCCATGCATTAGGCGTTTCCCAAAATACACAAATAGAATATGAGTTATAGGTTTGGGGGGAAAATCTGTATTCTTGAAACACTAAACATGCTTTTTGCATTTTTTCCATATGGCTTTTTAAGAATGCCTCATTTCATGCATCATCATCACTGCCCTAATCTAAAGCTCCTTCCAGAGATTCAAAGTAGAGACTCAAGCGGGGAGAAGATAATCACTTCTATTCAGAAGAAAACTAATTATTTCAAACCTGTTTAAATCTCTATTTAGGTCCTAGATATAGATTAAGGGTTATTTTTGCTTAGAAAACCAAACCATCACAAGTTGCACATAGTCTTAAAGAATCTTTAGCATTTTTAGGCATTGCTTCATATTACTGTGACTGAATTTGCTCTCTTAAATGTCCCATTAATAGGCCAAGGTGGATAGTAACTAGTTCCATTTATTCAAACACAATTACTTGAGTAACTTTAAAACCCCAGTAGGCCTCAGCAGATGGCTGCTCACACTGAGCCTGGTTCTGCTAGAGGTTTCTTGTTAAAAGGGAGTTTTTCCTCTCCACTGTCGCTACAAGTGTACTTAGTGTGAGGGATTGCAGTCAATGAGTCAATGCAATGAACTGGTTTTCCTTAGATAGAAAACTTTGAATCAATTTGACTGGATGATCTGGTTGAACTGACGTGTTGTGAATTGGCGCTATATAAATAAACTGAATTGAATTTGAATTGAAATTAAAAAATATGACAAGATTATGAAGTAATATTCTTGTGAAATCTTTTTTTTTTTCTCTTGAGTACAATTTCCCGTTACTCTGACTTCAGCTGCTTGAAGATCAGGTTAAAAACATTTAAGAATAGATATTATAGCAAGCTTTCTTTATCCTTATCTAACATATCCATGACATAATCATGTATATGTAGAAAAAAAGTATTTGGAAAAGTGCTACTTCAGCTCAGATTTTTTACTTTTATCATGTTAGGTATAAATATATATCTTTATACCAAATCTTGCATGTAAATGTCTGTCTGATTACATTATTTATTACAATTAAAATAAATGTTATGAGCCAATAATTATTCAGTACTTTTACAAAGCACTCTTTTACTCTCACTCAAGTCATTTCTAGTTTAACTTGAGTGAAAACCGGTTAGAGTAGTACTGTTGATACTTCAGTAAAATATCTGGGTACTCTACCCACCTGTTAGTGGGATATAGAGGCTTTGCTGTCTGTATGGCACAGACAGGACTCATGGTAGTAATTGCTTTTCTTCTCCAAAGAGTACAAATAAAGCCAATAATCTCGATAATAAAAAGCTTATAGAAAATTATTCGGCCCAAGTCCTCAGCAGTCCCCCTTCTGGAAATTGCAGAATCTAAGTCTCTGCCTTTGTTGTAGTTTTAGACGTGTAGTTCCTTTGCTGCGCTGCCCTGAGCAAGCTCTGCATTGGTGGCTACCATATCAAAGGTTTATGCTCTGTAGAAGATTGTCCTTCATATTATTGGACGTCCTTGAGTGCTTTAAAACATTTTCCCCAGCAGTTAAACCTCCCTACTTGAGGTTCTTGATGACGTATAAATAGTTGTTTTGGATGCAGTGTTACTTGGGGCAACATCTTCCTCTTTGAAGATGACAGTGGTTGTTACAGGTGGAAGAACACTGTTTTTAAGCACTGCCTCTTTTTTTTCAAACAAGCCTGAGCTTTTCCATCAGCTGTTCTTGTTAGCACTTTCCTCTCAGGTCACCCTTAGGTCAGAACTGATGCTTTGTGGTGGAACACTGCAAATCAAAGGGTGGAATACTTTGAGGCCTGTTCTGTTACTCCTCTTATTATTTTTCTGATTTTCGTATTTAAAAAATTTAACGGCACATATAAACAAAACGTTTAAACCTTTTTTGTTATGTAACTTTTACACATTTTTTTTTTCCTGTTGTTATTTAGTCTGTGGACCATTTTGATTTGTCTATTTCTCATTATTTCTGCTTTCCCTCATCCTGAGTATTTCTTTCCACCTCCACACCCTCACTAAAGCGGCCTTTTGCTTGCTTGGGAAGTGGAGAGCATGAAGTCATCACAGAGGCAAGCTTTTGCACTTTTTGATTCCACCTCTTCCCTCATTCCCTTTTCATTTCTCACAGCAGAAAGCTGTGCAGAAAAACTTAAACCTTCGCTGGTTTCTGTATATCTGCTTCAGATAATCCAAACTCTCATGTAGGCTTTCAGAGTCCTACCAATCTTTTGGTTTGTTGGCTTTCTGCTTGTTATATTTTTTTCCAGACTGACTCATGCAACCCACAAACTATAGGGGAGGAAACTTGTCTTATTGGCTGACTGCACAAGTGTGGGTATAAAACTGTTTCTGTGGTGCTTCTTAATAAATTAGAATATAATGTCATGACTCCTGTCTTTCTACTCCTGCCTCCTGTCATGCTCACATCAAGTTATTAAAAGCTCTTGCAGGTAGATGTCCATTATTTCTTCCTTGCTCTTGCCTGACCTCCAAGTTATGACATCGGATTATCCTGTTATCTCTAGACACTGACCTTGCTTTTCCCCCCCCGATCTCCGAGCCTTTACCTCGATCTGGACCTATTTGGTTGTACAAACTCTGCATTGGTTTAGTAAAAAATAGACTGAATTGCCCAGTTTGAATTAAGTTAATGGACTGATTGGTTTAATGGTTGATACCTCATCAAAAAAACTGTTTTTTCAAATTGGTCTTATGTTTTTTTTTTTTTTTATTGGTTTGCATTAGTCCTAAGTGATAATAAACATACCAACATCTGAACCATGCCAATCCGATTATAATAAATCTTTAATAAGGTTTCACTTTCTGCGCAATGTTACTGAAATATTAGTGTTTTTAAACGTAGTTTAATTTCAATTCAGCTAAATTGCACAAAATGCATTTATTCAAATTATTTTTCTTATTGACATACATATAATTAAAAAGGTCTAAAGACAAAATTTGTATATCAGGTTATTTATGGTTTGCATAAATAACCTGATGAACAACTTAAAAAACTGAAGAAGATTCTTATGAAACGTTCTGATACAAGGAACGGACAGAAAACTGAGATACAAAGCAGATGCATTTCTGAGAATTCAAAATTTACAGGAAAAATACCTTCCAACGAAAGCAAATTTCCCTTAACTGAGACTTTTGCTTGTTTCTATGCTGGCTCATTTTACATCTGAATTAATCGACTAAGAAAACTCTTTTAAATTAGATTAATAAATGTATAGCTAATGAGCATCTATGCATTTTTACCAAGTAAGTCTTAAAGCTTTTTTAGATTCACAAGAAAAAAATAAAACAGAATAGAGTTAAGATTATTTTTCTTTGTAACAAAATGTAGATACAAATATAGCCAAAAATTCAAAAAATAATCCACAAACAGATGGATTAGATTTCTCTAGTTGGAGAATGTAAAATACAGTCCCGGGATTTAAAAGAGATTGATTTACAAGAAGGTCCATCAGCTCGTCTGCTGCTGTTGAATATCTAAAATGTTACCTTTTTGTGTATAAGCTCCATTGACAGTTAAAGTTATGTTAAGTTGGTTAAAAAGTGTGCCAGCTCTCTAATATCTAATACCCCCCACACACACACAAACACACACACACACACACACACACACACACACACACACACACACATACACACTTTTGAAACAAAAGAGCTTGTTTTAACATTATTACAATATTATAACTGACCTAAGATTTTTCAAAGCTGAAAAAAAAATTTAACTTCTAGTTTTAGCAAAACTGTTTATTTGACTAAGAAAGGAGAGGTTAGATCTATATAAAGACTAATTGTGTGTTTAATAGAGAGGAAAAGATATGTTAGAAGACTAGAACCATATGAAATGAGAAAATTATAGAATTTAACCTGGAAACGATAACTGAAATAATGAATGGAGTCAAAATAAACTATGAGAAAAAAAGAAATATCTCCAACATTTCAGTGAAAATGAGTTCAGTTTTCCTCCTGAACGTGGAGTCCTCTGGGCTCTAACTTGGATCCTTTGCTCCAAAACTTGGCATCTGTGCTCCACATATTATTATAATGTTATACTGTGGACTCTTATATGATTACAGCAGCCCTCCATCAACCTCTTTTAATTATAGGAGACTAACAACAGGCTCAGACAGCCAGCTTACTATAGCTGCTGTCTTGGCTTCATTGTGTTTATTTAAGTTGGGCTCTCTGCCACCCAGTAATGTTTCCCCTCCCTAAGGTAATGACAGCATTTTGCCATGTTATTGGATGCACTTAGTCTGGCAGCCAGACTCTAATCTCTCAGCTCCCTCTAGTGCCAACCCAAAGATATTATCTGTTTAATGCACAGAAATATAGTCCAAAGCATACAGAATCTACACCAACAGTTTGGATCCTAAACATTCTGAGCTCTAAATCCTTAAAATATACTGCTTTTTTATTTTATTTGCACACATATCTGTCTTTAACACAGGACATCTGGATGAGCAGTTCTGAATGGGAAAGTTGTCCATGCTGTCATTTGCTCCAGTGGATGTTAACAGAGGAACATTCTTGGCTGATACCCCTCTCAAACAAGGGTTAGTTTTAAAACCGAAAAGTAAAAGCATGTAAATAAAACCCCAAACTGATTTTCTTCCCTTTTTTTATTTACTGAGCCTGGGCTCTGTGTAATAAACAGCCTCACCCTTCTGGCTCTGCATCAGCCTTCTGCAGCGAGGTGGCGTTTTCATTTTTCAGATGGTTCAAACTCCCTGTCCTGTCATAGCAGAACATCTGCTTTGTAATTTTGGTTGTGTTCTTGACATGCAGCCATTTGTCTTCCTGGAAG